AGTGAAGGAGGATGGGCTTGAACTTCGCGATGAAGAACACGCTTCCTATCACACAGGGCTCGGGGCTCAGGCTGCGTGCGTGCCATCCAGCACATGACATGCTCCCACTCAGCCGCATGTGTGCATGGACCCCTCAGCTGTTGAGTCATGTGCCTGCAGATTCAGCTGCAAGTTCCAGGCCACGGAGAAAGCCCCAGCCGATAGGGAGGAAACCAATCGGACTGTTTCCATAACCGTGAAAAGGCCGGCAGAAGCGTGTGCTCCAAAGCTCGTGAAAGCTGTCCAAACCTTGAGTGCTTAACTTGTAAGTGCTCACCACCAGCCTTGGTTGCTCCCGGAGCACTCGCGGCCGCTGCCTGCAAGTTTTTCAGACATACCATAGTACTCTTGTATAGGGAGTATAAGGTGGTACTACCACCAAGTATTCAGATCTCCATATTAAACCCCGACCCATACTTCCTCCGCCGGCGCCACCGGCGCTATGGAGTCTTGTGCCGCATCTTTCCTGGCAAGTGAATCTGTTCAAGAAAGCATCTTGAAGCACCTTGCCATATATTCAGGAAAACACAACTGGTCACAGTATTTCCTTATTATGATAATCTGTAACAACAGTGGAAGAAATAAAGCGAAGTCCACACAGGAGCCATCCTTCACTCACCGAGCCGGGGCACCGGGTCCGACTCAGCTTGATCTGCAGAAGCTGCTGCCGGAGCCCTGGGTTTGGATTTGGGTTTAAGGTCCTGCAATTGGGGGCTGTGCCGCGACTGCTGCACCAATGAACCAGCAAAAGGCCAAAGTGAACCACAGTCCAATAGCATTCGCAGGTGCACGGCCTGTGATCTCGCCTTCAAGCTGTCGAACTTGCTCTGAGAGGTTCCTGCCAACGTGTGGGACCCGAAAATAGCACCCTAGATAGTAGGATCCTGATCATAAGGACGCCAAAGAAAAGACTGCGGGAGCCTGCAGGAAGATCCATCATTTTGATCATTTTGCTGCATTCCCCGCCTGTTTTCTTCGGTCATCGTCTGCAGTTTGGCGTCCTGTCAATGTTTGCCACAGCAGCAAATTGTCACATTTGTCACGCTGGACGTGGTGGAAGACGATGCTCGGCTCATCGTAGAAGTTTCCTTACCCATGCAACTTCGGGTTTCCATGGGGGAAGTCTCCTTTTCTTCGCCATCTCGTTGATGCTGTGAAACCTGCAGGCGGTCTTCGGTCCAGCTGGAGCAGCACATGTCTCTGCATCCCGGGAGGCGCATACAGCTGCAATTCCCATGAAGCATCTTCGGCAGAACGCATTGTGTGTGAAGGCTGTGCAAGTGAACTTCGCCTGCATTCAACCCTCTTTCCAGAAGCCCCTACAGATTTCGGACCTACCCCGCGGACCGAAGCAAAGCAGCACAATCTCAACTGTCTCCGGATGCCCCAGAACCCGCACCTCTGCGGACAGCCTCAGGCACAGTGAGAAGGTGTTGCCGAATTGCTGTTGGCACTTGCTGCTGGGTGCAATCATCTTGACAAGCAGTTTCCAAAAGATTTCAGCTTGAGGGATCTTGAGGGTTTCGGGACTGAGTATGTAAATGGTGCTTTGGTCTTGATTCGCCTTTCGTCGGCAGGCAAAACATGCTGCCAATGCGAAAGAGGAGGCCACTCGCTTGCCAACATCTACTGGCGAAGCTGGATCATCCTTCCTGTCCTTCCACAGCCAGAAGAACTGTCCTATGCACACTTGCAGCTCAGTTGCTGATCCAACTGCGCCTGGCAAGCGGCACGGATGGCCGACAATTGTGCTGGGCTCCCTGGGGCTTCTGCTGCCACTGCATGCAAAGGTACGCTCTCCCCGTAAGGAGGAGGGTAGGAGCAGTAGTCATCGGGGTGGTGGGGTGCTGGCAGTCGCAGCCAAACTAAATACTGCGAGGCCAACTGCTGACAGCGACAGCAATGTTCTTGATCACGGGGCTAGACTGAAGATGCACTAGGAAGCGGAAATAGATGAGCCAGTAAAAAAAATAGTAGACTCGAATGAAGATATAACCGATACGAGTGTCGCAGCACTTGTCAATAACAAGCACAAGCATAAACGTTTTGTAATGTCATGCTCGGCCTTCTGCGCAGAGGAGTAGAGCTCGGCTTGCGTGATCTTGTCCTGAGCGTCAGCCGCTATCTGATCGAGGCCCCGCTGAATTCCAAGCCAACCCCACGCACTAAGAGACGAGATCGAGGCCTCACTCACCTGAGCCGCTCCAGCAAGTACCTGCGAAGCGCAAGCTGTAGCAGCAAGATGTTGCGAGCAAATCATAATACTACTGCTACTACTAACAATAGTAATAGTAATAACAACAATAAATGTTGTTTTGCAGATGGGTAGCCTCCTGCTCCTCCTGCACTGCCTCGGTCAACGGCTGAGGCGATGCCGTAAACTTGCAGTGCGGGGGCTTCGGGCTTGAAGCTCCTTTCTGCAAAAGACCATGCCAAGCCCGTGCTGGACGAAACAGCCCGTCATGCCTAGACTGTACACCACATATGTGAGAGTTGTAAGAGTTTGGGGGTCTTGAGGATATACCCTTCAGCATCTGTAAGACTGAGATTGCGACCCGGATGATTCTCTCGAAGACCTGAGGGTTGCAGGCGGCTTCAGTTGCAGATCGCGATTTTCCAAACTACCGAGGCCATGCCCATGAAACCCAAACCAGCTTCTCGGATCTTTCCACTGTTTTGAAAAGCTTCGGTTTCGTCTGCTTTCTGGCACTCGGGAATGTAGAACAAGGTCAAGCCGGGAGCCCGAAAACCCAGGCGAAGACCAAACTGCCAGAATGGAAGTCCGCACGATTCTTTTCTCAGGTCCAGCAATCTTCGAGTTGTCGCGGCCCTCCCCCGCGCACCCGATATCGCGCTCCCGCCCCTTGTCCCCGCCCTCCCCCGCCCGCGATGTCGCGCTCCCGCCCGTCTCCCGCTCCTTGTCCCCGCCCGATATCGCGCCCCGCGTCACCGTCCGTGCACCCGATATCAAGGCCCGCGCACCGTTTAGTATCGTTTAGTCTTCTAAAGCTCTTCCGTTCAGACAGGGCCCGATATCGCGCACCTCGCATTGGAGCACTCAACGAGAACCCAACCCCAGAGGGGTTTTCGGGAAAAAACTCGGGAGTCAGCCCTCCTGCGGTGTGGCATCCTTGCCATGGACCTATGCCGAAAATGCAGTCTTGCAAGCAAGTCGCTTTGCCCACTTCCGTGGAGAGTTGCATCCCGACGGAGAGCACTTAACGCGGCGAGCGGATCCTACTTCCTGGGCTTGCAATGTCGAAAGTGCTGTGGACAATCCCCTTACGACAGCTTGTAGTCACTGGAGCTCGTGTCATGTCCTTCTTATGACCGTAATCTGCAACCTTGCGCTGTTTCTATGTTTGTCCTTCTATGCATGAGCAAAGATGTCAGCATGGGCGTTGCTGTACACATTGAAACCCTGAGCCAAAGAGCCAGTACTGTCTGAACTTGAAGCTGCGATTCCTGCATCCTTGCTTCTCATCAAGGCATGAGCAACAGGACAGCAATGCTGAGCCTCATACACTTTACTAATTATACTATATTATACTATGCTATATTCTGCTATACTATATGAAAACTATATCATGGGGCTGAATCTAGCAGGTGATGCCGGTGAATTGGACGCCTTGCACCCTCAACCCTGAGCTTGATTCATGAGGTTTCTCCGCCGCCAGACAAGTCTGATGGGCCAAGCTTTTGCGGCATCTGCCCGGCAGGCGAGATGGGGCTTTTGAAGACAAGGATTTCCCAGTTGACTGACGACTTTCTGCAGAGTTGAAGGAAGGGGTCGAAACCGGGAATATTTCAATCGGTGTCGGCGGCTTGCAGCACATGTTACAGTACTTGCGGGAATGTTTAGAGATCAGGGAAATCCCTGCTTGTTGCGACCTGGGCAAAAGAAACGAAGAGGCAGTTGATCAAGTAAACCGTAACCCTGAATCCTAAACTATCCGAAACTATCTGCTCCATTGTTTGCACAAACAAGATACAGCTACAAACGTCCAACACTACAGAAGGTTCAAGGGTAGCTGTGACTGTGAAGGGTCTTGATTGGGCTTAAGCGGCTGACTGTGAACCCCGCAGCAGCCCAAGGGATGAAAGCTGGAGCCTGCAAATCTCCCGCGTGATTAGACAACTCATCCACCAATTCTGTGAGGCCTTAAAGCCCTGATGGAACCCTAAGCCTAAGCCTAAGCCCTTGCTCAGAAACTCCGAACCCTTGCAAAAACCCCAAATTTCTAAAACCCTAAACCCGAAGCCCCCTGCCCTACACCCCAAACCTCTGCGATCAACCGCAGCAAGAAAGCAAGAAAGCAGCGCAGGCCGCAGGCTTTGGCCTCTCAGCTCTGAGTCCTCGAGGGCTACGAGGGCTCCAGACACATCGGTGCAGGGCTTCCCCCCTTTTTTCTACAACAATGAAAGCATACTTGGAGGATCATGGGACTTAGTAAGTAAGGTTATAAGTACCTTAATTGGGGTCGTAAGTATAGATACCTGATTTATACCCCGACTTACTAAGTCCCGTGATCCTCTAAGTAGTGTATTCATATACGTATACAAGCATGCATCCACATATTTCGGTGTGCATACCAGCAGTACGCATACACCTGTACATACATATACGCACAGACGAGCGAAGGGGCAGATCTTAACCAACAAACACATAGTTTATGCGGAAATTTCAGAAAGGCTCGCAAATTTGGAAGCTTCGTGCTTCTGATTTCTGAGCAAGCTTTCGTAGTCTTCATCCCATGTACGCCGCAAACACCCCTGCCGAAATCGCAAGGCTTTGCTCCTGTTCGTCGGGTGTCTGGTTCCCGGAGTGGAGAACACCGAGCTTGGATGCTGCGGCGAGCCCCTTCAAAACACTGTACATGGTTTTGCTCAAGCGCCACCCACCCTAAAGGCCCTGAGCCCGGAAACCTAAACTCTAAACCGCAGCAAGGCGAACGATCGCATCAGGGCGCAGGGCTTTCTCGCACCAGTCGCCTTGACAGGCTGAGAGGAGCTCAATTCTCCCGGAAAGCTGACGCGACTGTCGATTCACGAGCTAGTGTTGGCCGATGATGCCCTGTAGTAGGTGCACAAACTCTCTAATTTTTCGTCGACGCATGATGCTCTGCGTGCCGTCGTGCCGAGTAGCTGCAAGCCCTCTGCATCAAAGGTAATCATGGCAACCAGTCGGCTGCTCCAGCGTGGTAGCTTCATGAAGTTTAACATCACGGCGTCCTCAGGCAGATTGTAGAAGGTGCAGAGAGAGTCTTGGAAAATGCTGACACAGATGTCGTCATATCATGCCATTTTCGTCGAGGTTTTGCAAAATATTGCTTCTGCTAGGACATATCGTGCCTTCATGAACTACCTCCATGTCATCGTGCCTTCGATCGTTTTGAAGTCGTCGCTGCTGTCGTCGTCATGACGGCAGTGGCCGCCATTCGGGCTGACAGCCGCAAGGATGAGTAAGCGGGTAGGTGCAGGACGGGAAAAACAGTGGTAGTTCTCCATAGCGACTGCCATGGTGTCGTTGTCGCGTATTCCCTAATGGACCATGATTGTTTGTTGCAAGTCTGGCTTGGCTGTTGCCACCACCATCAACGGCAACGCGAATCAAAAGGCCCTGAGGGAATTTGGAGAACCATAGCACAATTTCCGTTTATGCCTAGCGTCCATATAAGATTGAGCGCGTCGGTGGTTGCCTCAGCGAGGAAGCACCGAACAGCAAATTGAGTTGATGGCACATGAACTCCAGACCTTCTGCGACCATCTGCCAATCTCAGCCCTAAACTACTGCTTTCATGCTGCGGACTTCGCATGTGGTTTACAATTCGAAGTGGCCAAGGCTTCGTGGCCAAGTCATGCTTTGCGCTTTGCAGCTGCCGGTGTAATCATAGCCCAGAGAGATTGCTAATGTTGCGCTGGTGGCGGACGCTCTATGAAAAAGTCGGTCGACAACAATCTGCAAGAATCAAAGCACATGCAGCTCAAGCGACGGCCAAGGAGGAATGAAAGCAGGCTGTGCATCTCTTCTTCTTTGATATTCATTGCCGAGGCTACCTGCGAACGGGGGCAGCTCTGTGCTTCCGTCATGGCCCATAACTGCAATAGGTTGCTGCCCTGCCCACTCACTTTCCACAGCTTAAGAGAAATCTCCCAGCAATTGCCACATGGGGAAGCCTAACCTACTGCCTTGCACCATCGTGAAGCTTGCCTACCTGTTGGATCGACAGTCGCAAGTTTGGCAGGCAACGAGCGGATGCCTGATTCGTAAATTCCACCAGCTCCTGATGTCAGATTTGGCAATGGCTTGCTGGATTGGTCGCGGATCCCGGCTTATTGCTTGGCGTCTTCAGAATCATGCTTTGGAAAGGCTGCGTGGCCCTTCAATGTGCCATGCATGCCGTGTTGCAGAATGACTGCCTTAACAGCACTACAAGCATCTTGACCTCTTGCAGCTCTTCACACGGAGCAGAACATGGAAGGCACGGTGCTACAAGTGTACACGGATTTACATGATAGCCGTCGCAATAACAACGATGGTCATACTTCCTTGTAGCAACATCAACAACCATCCTCATCACAGGAACACTCAAAGGGTTTCTGACTCTTTTGGCGTTAAACCACTGTCGTGGGCTCCATGAGGTTTGTTGCCATGAGCGCGGAGAGGCCACCAGAGAGCAGTGCCGCCCAGGCCGTGTGAAACAGGCCAACGACCTCGAATAGTTCAGGGATTAAGACTGCCATTGGGGATGTTTTTGGAAAGGTTCACAGGGCTTGAGAAGGGTTTACGGAGATCCAAAACCCTCAACTAAAAGAGTTCTTAAATGGGTTTTGGCCTTGGGATTGCATATGTACGTACAGGACCAGTCGGGGAGCAGGTCATCAAATCAGGCTACAGCTACCCTACAAGGAAGTATATGTAATGTAATGACTGCAGGGCATACTTATAAAGTACTTTCGATGGTCCCCGAATCCTCAATGAAAGGTCCGAGTGGAAAGCGCCTGAACCGGACACTATTTGGATAGGCTCTCACGTGCCGTAGGGGCGGACCCACTTCTACCGAAAAGCATCAACGGCCATAAACACATATTGGCACAAGCTGCGCCCGCGGATTCCATCGCTTGGATATCCAGGCCGTGCAGCTTCGTCAATAGCACAGAGAGGCCAAAGCCGGCAAGCACCAGGGAGTAAAGAATGCCGATAATCACCAAGTAGCCTGTTCAGGCTAAAGAATGAGATGTACGACTGTATGAATGAATAACTTCTGGTGTGCAGGTGCAGTTTCAGCATGAGGAGATATGGGGTGCCGAGTCTTCGTTCGTACTGACGCGACTAAGCATGCAGGCAGCGGGTGGCAGCCAGCAGCTTACACTCAGGAAGCTACTTCGACTCGTGCTCAAGCTCTCGGGTATCATTCTAAGGCCGGACGGGTGCAGGGCAAATTCCAGCTCTCGAACGATGTGCATACGGTAGGTGGCTCAAAAAACGTGTGTCAGGAAGTGCACTCCCTATGGTCCCTGCTTCAATCGGATCTCTCGAGCAATCCCCCCCCATGTGCTTGGGGCACGATTCCTTGACGGCTGGCCGAGTCACAGCCCTTGAGAATGTTGGGGTCAGCGGCAATTTTCCGGAGCGCCCCGAAGATGTGCCGCTTGTTGAGAAACCTGCGCCGCTCGGTCTTTCTGCCAACCAAGACCCATGACCAAGAACAGAGTGTGAGGGCAAATCCTGAAGCTCGAACGGAGTGTCTGGTGGGCGATGGCTAAACCCCAATATGAGCAGCGAGCAAACCAAGCCCTGACCCATGTGGCGACGTGTAGGAGTTTGTTGTTGACGACGACAGGAAAGCGTGAGGGCTGCGGTCATGCAATGCATGCCACCGGCGCTTTTACCGCCTTGCTGCTGTTTTATTGGTGCTGCAATGGCATGCGCAATAAGGTGGCCAGGGTGGGGTTTCGTTAGTTATGGTAGATCCTGCTTTGGTAGCTGCTCGAAGCTATCATCCCCGTACGATTAGTTCTCCAATCTCTTTGCTCAACGTATGGCCTGACGAATCGCATAGCAGAGAAGCCTGCCAATGTCTTGACCTCCGGGGTGCCGGGTTTCAACTCAAAATCGCCCGCTGCTCCATCGGATCATGCGGCACCGATGTGCACCATGCTGTGGCCGTGACCCGCTTATATCTCACACTCCACACTCTTCAGGAGGTACAAAGCACCATGCAGCAAAGTGTCTGTGCCCACACACTGGGAAGGGCTCGCGTGAATTCCACAGATACAGCTCAGAATCTCACAGGGCAGCTTGCCTTGGTAGGGTAACGGCTATGAACAGAGCGAGGGCGTGGGATTACTTGCTTTCAAAGACGCAAGCAGGCCTTGCAGGCTGCCTGTAAACCCGGCACCTTTGCCGCCCCACCTTGTACCAAAGAATTCGGAACGGAAACCGGCCGCGAACCTAATGGTAGGCCAAGTGACAGAGGTGTTCCAAGAAAATACCGGCCTCCAGCACTCGCGCAGCACTCCTGAGGTCGATTCCAAAGCAATTACATCATGCGACGACGTGTTCTTGGGCAGATCGTACAACGCGCATCTGATAACCCGCCGGATTGCAGAACGACGATCTCATCCAGCAAAATGCTAAAGAATTCCCAAGATTTTCTCCCTCGTGGCGAAAATCAAAGCCAAGGAGCCCCACAGTCAGTGGTAAATCCTCCAAACAAACTACCATCATGTTCCGCCAGAGGGCCTGGCAGGATCTTGACCTGACCTCTTTGTGCAATGTTGCGAGTACATGCACTCTGTACAGCTTCCCAATCCGGATTCTAACCGCGACTGCCCCTTCAATCCCGAGTACCTTAGAGCAAGGTTTAAGACGCGCCTTGATGTTCACGGCCAGCCGGAGAGCGAACAGCAGAAAACTCAGGTACTTCATCTCTGTCACATGATCCCGGATGAGCGCGCGCTCCTTGGGGGCACGAGGAAGTGAACAACTTCAACACACTTCAACTCTTGCAGAGAATTTGGCCACAAGACCGCATTCGATAGACACGATGTGACAACTTCGAGTTTTTGGAGTCTTTGCCCACACTACCCTAATCTCTAGGCATCCCCAAACCACAGCTCTTCAACATCCATCCTCAGCCCCCTGCATCGTAGGTGACACCCAGATCTTCCTTCAAGCGCACGGCGCCCTGCAACGTGTCCTGGCAATCCTACAATTGTTTTGTATGTAACTTGACGGTTATAGTCGTCTCCAGGCCTGGAACAGAATGACCATTGCCAGCAGCACTAAAAAGTCTACCATCAGCATTAACATCACCATCGTTCATGCTAGCGTTGTTGTTGTTGCTGTTGCTGCTGCTTCGAACTTGAGAAAGGCGTGCAGGAGGCTTTCTGACCCGGTGTGCTGTTCAGCACGCCGGTGACGACGACTATTGTTGCTGTTGCTTCCGGTGTTGCTACAGCTAGCAGTCCCTAGCACCACGGCTACCGCTGCCACCACTATGACGACGACCACCCCTACCCCTCTACTACCACGACTGCTACCACTACCTCTAGGCTCGTCACCAGGACGATTACTCCTACCGAAACTTCCGCTGCTGCTGCTGCTGCAACTACTACTGCCAGTACTACTATGTCCGCCAAGCCAGGCAAAGCACCACCTGTTCATCTCTGCTGCTCATCCCGCCTGGGGCAGCAAAGTCTCTTGGCCGTGGCTGCGGCAACTGTCCACACCTGCTGCTTGGATTCTTTAGGCTAGGGGGAGAACATTTAGGGCCCTTCGTGTCGGAAGCAAACCGGGAGCTCTCCACAAGCTTGAGCACGTGAGACTTTTGACAAAACCCTGCATTTCAGCCGCACAATCACAACAGCCTCGTTAAAACCGCTAAGCCGTAACTTTAGACCCCTGAACTTTACGTGTAGTTTTCTGAACGTGCTTGGGTTCAACGCCTGCAGCAAGTCCCACTCCGCAGCAAAGCATCATGAACCTTTGCATTCTTGAGAATCTGGGGTCAGGAATCAGGAACTGGGTAGCCTGGTTTCCGTCTGCTGTTTCAATTTCAGGTAGGGAGCGGTTGCTTGAAGCGTGGGGTGTGTGACCACCGCCCCCCCGCCCTCATCGTTTTCCTGAGACCCCGCCCCCCTCACCCCACTACTACTATTCTTCCTCCTACTACCGCCACTACCTACATACCTATTCACTACTTACAAGTCACAACTTACTTACGACACATCACTGACCAGTCACCACTTTTTGACTGTAGCCGTTAGGACAGGATCCCTGATGCTTTGGTTATCTTTGGTTGGGCTTAGGGGGGTTGGGGTGGCATTTCCCCCCTGCGATTGCTGGTGCGTGCTTGTCATGCTTATGCTATCCAAATCAGGGGTGGTGGTAATCCCTCCCAGGCTGAGGTAGCGGAGACCGTGTTTCGGACAACTATCGGTGAAACTCCACATAAATCATCATACGAGGCTGAAGCATTACGAGATGTTCCAACTCGGCATCGGGATGCTTGCAATCTTGAAATACTGCCGTGGTCGAGCACATGGAGTCATGTGTTGTAGCCTCGTGTCCCACCCTACAACTCTTCAATTTGAGCACGTTTTCTGCTTGAGCTTTGGGATCCAGGAAAGGAGGGCCATCTGCCATCGATATCCATCGTTCATATGACGAGTGACTGAAGCTGCCATACGTTCTTTGCTGAAAGGTTTGCCGGGCCAACCGACGCTTCGGCTTAAAGCACGAGGCGACTCCTCAAAGTATGAACACGGCCAGGCCACAGCAGCTGGACATTGAGCTCATCCGGCGTAACCCTGCGTCAGCCAGGTATTTCTAGAAACTCCCTGCAACATCGGGCATGATGCGCCACCACAACGCTGTTGCTAAGTCACGCAGACGGACGCCAAGAAGCCTTCGCCCACAGGACTGCAGCTTGGGTCTGCGACATGCAACGCTTGATTGAGTAAACCAGTGTAGGATGAACGCATACCACCTCTGCTGCCGAAACCCTGGCTGCGAGGATCCGTGTTTTGAGGTGCATAAGAGGCGTCTCCTGAACAGCCAGTTCAACTGAAGAGAAAGCGCACGAACCCGAACATAAACCCCCTGTAGTAGCATTCCGGCAGAGGTGCCAGAAGAGGGCGGCGAATGGTGTGGCAAGCCCCACGAGTGACAGGAGGTACACTGCCTAAGGGGTGCGGAGCGTGGACGCAACACGCCTGCCCTAGGGCTTTCGGATTGGGAACTTGACCCATCCATCTGCACGGGAGACCCTGAAACCACGAAGAACCTTCAAATCAGCGTCAGCACCAAAGAGAACATTGACTATACTTCTTGTCGGGGAAACTGAAGTGCCAGCGAGATGCTGTATCCCGCATGACCGGTCCAGGGGCGACCAGAGCCAAAACCCTACACTCGAATTCGCGTCTGCACAGGCACCCTCCGGTCTTGGCGTTGGCTGCTTCAGAGCATGGCTATGGAAGTGCTAATTCTGTCGGAAGGCCACAATCCCGGAGTTGTAGCAGTTCCTCTTACTACAGCCCGGCCGTGGGCGAGCAGAGGAGCAAAGGTTTCCTGCAAGTTCACTTAACTCACACCGTTCAAAGTAGGAACTGGTGGGCCAGTGTCGAAAGCTACTGGGGATCTAGCACCAGCCCTCGGTAGGACGAGCTTCGAATTGAACCCGATCGACTCTGTCTTTTGTCGTGCTGTTGGCACACCTACTGCAGGCTTGCGGAAAATCGCGGCTACAGAAGCAGCTAAGACCCGCCGCTATGCTGCAAGACTTTTTGTGATGATGTTGCGGCTTGTTTCCCGGACAAGTGTCCGCTCAGCCTCTCCAGCTCCAAAAGTCTTCGTGGCTGCTCTGCGACCTCGTTGGGGGCCCTGATGTCTGGGCCAGGAGTCTGAAGGCCAGCATCTCCACACTGCGGATCATTCCTCAGGCTCTTCCTCCTTGACGTCTTCGTCCTTGAGCCTCGAGGTTTGCCGTGCTCATGCAGCTCTCAATTTCGGACTTTACTGTTGCGCACTAGTGAAGCGCTGGCAAATGGCAAAGCCCCGCTGCTTTACACAATCAGGAAATGTGGATGTCAAAACACTCCAAAGCCTTCTTGCACCGACCAACCCGGCAGCAAAGTAACGGGTGCTGACATCCCGCTCAAGATATTTGTGGTCTAGTTGCTAACCTCTCGGATCCTTCATGTCAAACCCCGAAAAGCCGCAAACCCAAGAAATCCACTTCTGCAGATCCTACGACCCCCATAAGATTGAAACAACATCTCTGGACAACCTGAAGCATCCCCTATGTACTTGTAAGGCGTCATAGGAGCCGATAACCCAACCATCAACCACATCACCTGATCCTTCAAGTAGCCCAGGGGGTCGCCAGCGGCGCTTGTCCATAGAAACGATGTGCCAGTCGGAGGCCTCAATGCCAGTAACTCAGTAGGGTTATGGATGTTTATGGTTTACGTTCGAGGGTCACGATATGGTTCAGGCTTGAGGGTTGGGGTATAGGCAAAAAGGTTGAGGGTTTCCTTGCGGCCGCTTACTCTCGAAGAGCAAATGAGCTTAGGAATGAAACTTGCGTGGAGGACCTTGCCCTTCCAAAGCTCACGAAGCATCTAGACTCTGAACGTGGTAGCAACTCGAAGGGAACAAATCGTCATGATCCACTTGCATACTCTTCTGCGAACAAAAGTGTGTTGCTTGCAAGCTTGAGGCTCGAAATGAATTACAGCAGAACCCTAAAACGGGTCCCTGTGCCTCATTGCCGTCTTCGTCAGGAAGATGGCGCTTGAAGGTCCACCTCGGCTGGCCGGTCTTCTGGACTCGAGTCTTCTGGTAGTAGTAGTCGTCGTAAGAGTTTTGCTTGAGGTTTAGGGTTTACAGAGTTGTAGCAAGTTGCAGGTTGACTGTTGGGGTGTGGCGGTTCGGGATTTACATTTACAAGGAACTTCGTTTGAATTACAGCATCAAAGGCAGGACGAGAAGCTGGGCTGCATAACAACGAAACTTTTTCGAAGAGGGCCAGAGCGTTTTGGGTATGCGTAGCATTTGAGCGCTGGGTCTATGTGCTACGGCTGCCAAGTCACTTGTGCAGCCTCCGCACCTGCAGTCCAACTCTCGGTGAGCTCGCTTCCGGACATGCTGGAGGACTCCGTGAAGCCCGAGCCCTCGACTCCAAATCCGATGCATTTTGAACCGCAATTCAAACAGCTGATCTCTCAAGAAGGGACGTCAGGATGGTGAGGGTTTGGTTTTTCGCAGGGAAGCACAAAGGGAGGCAAGCTTCAGCACGCTCGCAGTCGAAAAAAGACTTCATGACCCGCCGTGGCCTCCCACCAAACAGTCGGATCCTGCCCAGGGTTCACCAGGATCGGAAAAAGCAGCTTAGATTCAGGACATTACTAAGCCTACCGTCTCTCATGAGCTTCCTGCTCGAACTTGAGAAACAAAATGGCATTTGGGCGGCCCGCCTTCTGCAAAGTGTACTTCCTTGGATCGCAGAACGCTTCCGAAACGATGCATCACCCGTGGCCCATGGACAAGCGGCTTCTGATCATGCTCCAAACATTCCCAATACGATCTTCGGCTTGCTGCCGAGCTTGACATCCCGAAACATGAAATGCGAAAGGTCATGAGTCATAGACTGTCATAGACATACGATTCGTCACTGTTCTGAAGACGACAAGCCGACCCTGAATCCTCCTGCTGAAGCTGCGCCATCCAATTCAAACTGAACTCGAGGCAAAGGGGCTCGGTCACGCGGAGCAATGGCGTCACCGACACAGCTTCACCACCAAGCTCCTCGGCCTCTTAAGACTCGTCTTCCGTTGCATCAATATGAATGTGTCTTTTTATTCAACCGTAGATACGGATCTATGATTGCTCCAGCAGAGGGCTCAGGTTGTAAGACGCCAGCTGAAATCCTGTTGGGATCTTTTGGTGCAACTTCGTGCATTCTCTTCTCATGCTAGCCAAAAGCAGGGCCAAGCAGATATCGGCCGACCTGAACACATGCAAACGAACGTGAGCCTGAGACCTGATTATTCCGTCCTTTTGCAGTACTGAACGGCTACGAAACACGGGCCGGCTGCGCAAGTGTGGGAAGCACCCAGCAGCTCAGATTCTCTAAATACGGAGCATGAGACTAAAAGAACAATGATGAAGCACGTCGAGTCGAACAGCGATACAAAACGAAGCGGCTTGGCACCTGCACCATTGCATGGAATATGCCAAGCTGGAACACTTCCCGCAGCTCGTAGTCCTCAGATTCACGCAGAAGCCGCTGCAGGTCCGGCAATGCAAACAAAGTACCGCTGTTCAGTCGAAGGCATGCAGTTCACAAAAGCAAAGACCATTGGCATAAACCTAACCCTGACCCTACAAAGCCCTTCAAGTTGCTCTACACACGGTGCAAAAGTGAGTTGAAGTATGCCGACGTGATGCTAGGCCTTTTGACAGCTTGCCGTGGGACTGGCGCAATTCCTCATTGGAGCGTTTGGTGTGCTTCCGCGGGATGCGCACAGCATGCAACACCCTGCTTGACATGAGGTTTAGGGGCACGCTCCTGCTGTTTTGCACATGGAAGCAGCATGGCATTCTTCACGGGCGAACATGCAAAGGAAAGCCTCCACGAGGCCGTCTGCCATCACGCGGCGCAAAGAAACAAAGTCCCCTTGATCCAGGAGACCTGGGACGTCAAAGCGTGCTTGCTGCTTTCGTGCAGTCCTTGCTGCTACTTTGACTGGACTTCACCGAATGCCGCCTACTATTCACTATGCGCGACGGGAGCCACATAAACCAAGAACCACCGCCACTACTGCTGCTGCCGATGATTCTCGTTTTCACTTCTGAAGCAGTCGCAGGAGGAGGCTCAGGAGGGTAGTAAGAACGGAATGACGCGTAGCGGTAGCCGTGGCAGAAGCAGCAGCAGCAGGAGGAGGAGGAGAAGTAGTAGTAGTAGTAGTAGTAGTAGTAGGAGTAGGAGTAGGAGTAGTAGTAGTAGTAGTAGTAGTAGTAGTAGTAGTAGTAGTAGTAGTAGTAGTAGTAGTAGTAGAAGTAGAAGTAGAAGTAAAGTAGCAGTGGCCGGCAACCATGCCAATTACACTTGCTTTAAGTCTTTTAAGAGCTCATCCATGTTAACTGGGTATTTACAGCACTTAACTTTCGTAACGCTCCTGGTTGCCTCTGCATCCACTTGTCGACTTTGCAAACTTGAGCTTCGGACTTCGGAAGGGTGGGGGTCAGGGGCTGGTTTGGGGGGTGGGGCTGGAGGGGATGGGGGTGTAATGACGACACAATAGCACATTCATGCTACTCGGTACTTCCTACGATACTTTCGCAATTTCTTACCACTTCTTGTTGCGTCAAGAATCCACTTGCCGACTTTGCAAACTCGAGCTTCCAGAAGCGTGGTTTGACAAGCATAGTTGGTGTGGCTAGTAGTAGTCTTCGTCGTCCTCGTCGCAGTCGTAGTTAGTAGTGGTAGTGCAGCAGCAGCAGTAGTTGTCACCGTCGCCGTCGTCGTCCTTGTGGTTGTGGTTGCTGTTGCTGCTGTCGTTGTCGTTGTGGTGGTTGTTGTTGCTGCTGTTCCCACCACTCCCAGGAGGACGAGGAAGCGACCGCTACTACAACGGACTGCGACAAGAGCTGCCCCCGCTGAGACTTTTGCTGGGGATTCTGGCAGACGTGCCCAGACTCATGTACGCTATGAAACTGACACGGATGCCAGATGTAAAAGGCAGCACCTGCCAGCACTGCCACAGCTTACGTTGTGCCCTCGTCGGCTGTCAGTCGTGGACTTCGAGTCTACTGCCGGCATGTCTTCAGCGTCACTTTCTGTGGCGCCCTTGCTTTCAGCTGGTTGTACTGTGATTTGGAACAAACCCTTATGCAGAGGGACACCAGCTGTCTTCGTTGCGTCGAGCAGCAGTTGACTTGCTTGTAGGCCTCGGAAGCCCCTGCACGAAAGTCACGCGCACACCTTGGATGTACAAGCACGCATTCCTCTCTGCACACGTCTTTAAATCTGCGGCACCCCGCAGATACAACTGCGCTGCATTTCTCGAAGTTTCGGCCTCTCTACAAAACCAGAGATCCCAAACCTTAGAAGCCTCAGGCAATTTGCAGGCTAGGCTCCAAGTGCCTGGATACACGACCTTCATGGATTCATGGAAGTTCTGGTGCTTATTGCGCATTTAGAGAAGGCCCCCCCCTCATATGCAAATCTGCAAGGAAGAGTTGATTAAACTCAAACAGCGGCTCCTATGTTTCAAACATTTGGCTTTAGTTCGCCTGCAAGTTATCGTCTTTGCCGATCTTCTCGGATAATTGTTGTGGTTCATTGCGAAACTACACTGCGACAATCGCTGCAGGGGCAGGCGTTCCCATGTCACTACCATGGCCTCCATCGTCCGCAGCTTGACAGAGCTGATGACATGGCGCACGTTGATCGTCTCAGATCAGGGCGCAACTAGTCGTCTTAGCTTCCAGAGCGGAGTCTGCACAAGCCATTCTTTTGCTGCCCTCCGAACGTAGAAGTCCGCACATCTTTCTCACGGGGTCCCTGTGGAGTGTGTGAAAGGAGGTCCTTAACAAGCTTGGGATAACGGTATGATGCCGGACAACATCCTTCCAAACCGCTACTGAAGCCCTGACACATGGCACACGCGGCAACAAACCAAGCACCATGTCGCCATGATGAATGGTGACCTTGAACATGTCACTGCAAATAAGGACCAACGTCATCAATAAATCTGGCCATAAATCTGGACCTCTTTCTCTGCAGTACACGGCGGACCGAAAACTTGGCACAAACAAAACCAATACGGTTGGAAACAAACCTCATGATAGGATGCATGAACAAGCATCAGCTCAAACGAGTTTCTAATCATCCAAACAAAATTTGGAGTGTCTAGTAGTTTTGAACACATCACCGCAGACGTCATAGTCTCACGTCTCGTGGCTTCTTCTTGTTCTGTCAGGGCGCGAGCAGGTCCAAAGTGCCCGCCAAACTTCGCTGCAAGACCTCCGAAAACTTGAGCGGCTGTTCGGCTCAAAAATGATTACAACCCGGACTGCTCAAAGCTCGAGCTGGCAGATAGAATCCCGCAGCCCTCACGCAGATCCCCAAACCCATCATCACCACAAGCTGCTCAACCAACGTCCAAATGCCCACAAACCTGATGCCCTCTCCCGCGGCACACGTGGCTCTCCGCCACTGGCAAAGTGGCGCACGGGCAGCCGCTGCCATCTTCGAGGATGCAGACGTAGCCGAAGCATGGCTCTCAGCTTCCAGGGCTTTGGCCCAACGTTCCAAAGATGTTGCGTGCTTTTTTGTAGATTTGTGGCCCTGCTTCTGTTTTTTTTTTGGATTTGGGCTTCCTAATGTCGTTTGTCTGAAAGCATAGCCTTTCAATAAAGGTTGAAGGGCTCGGGGTTGCTGGGTTAGGGCTTACCGGCTGAGGGGCTCAGAGTTTTAGGAGCTTAGGATTTTGGGGTGTTAAACTTGTTCTGGAATCAGAGGATGCTGTCGGAGTTCTGCAATGTCGCAGTGCAGATCTCGGAGTTGCGTGGTGTTGGGTCCAGGGCCAATGAAGCTCGGGTGTAGGGTGTCAGGCTTGCTTCTATGGAGGGCTTAGGGCTTGTTGTTTCCGCGGTTTGCTGGAACCGCTACAAGCAAATCTGTTTCGACTTGGCGGCATGGCGTGATCCAGATTAGCTTGAGGTAGGGGTACCGTTGTCTAAACTTTCGTGTCAGCACTGCACAATGCCGGTATTGCGCTGCTCACGACATCGTACGAACACCAGCCAGTACTAACGACCACAATGCTCTGACAGATGTAAGCACCGCCATGATGATCTCACTCTCCATCTTCTTCATTCATGTGGGCATCAAGGGCGTGCTAGACCCCGCGGCCACCAGGGAACCCCATCTCCTCTCTCTCTCTCTCTTCTCCCGTGGGCTGAAGCACCGACGCGCGACCACCTTGTTCAAGGAAGCAGCTTAACGACACTGATCTGGTCCGAATGAAGGAGCAAGTCACCAAATGTACCCAAACGCAATACGAAGGTTCTCTTCGATGTCTTCCTGTGGTCCAAGTGTTTCAGGTTTCAGTGTTGGAGGCTTAAACTCAGGAGAACTCAGTGCTTGAGCTTTACTTCTTGTAGCCAAGCTCTTGCAACCAGCTTCGTTCTTTGAGCAATGCAGCCGGAAGCGGCCTGCAAGCTTGACGGATTGTGTCAAGCCTCAAGAAACCCATCAACAAACTTACTTAACACTGCATCAGCTGCCAATCATTTGTCCTGACTCCTCCTTTCCATGTCGGCGACCCGCCACGCAGCTTTGAAATTCAGTAACCTTAGATTGGCTTCCAGCAAAGCCTGCTTGCCGCTCAGCCAAACACTGTATGGCAAACCTGCCGCAACGCAAAGAGACGTAACTAAATGTGTATGCACTATGTCACTATGTTTTTAGCTCTCGTGCTCAGGTAATAATGTACACTGTTCACCATTACGAGGACAATGCCATACATCATGCTGTAAATAGCATTCGTCGGGAAAGAGTCTGCTGCTCGCAAGAGCTCTACTGGAAAGCTGCGGCCTCTTCTGCCTTCAGGCTACAGCCCGAAAGCACTCTCTTCCTCCCCACGCAACTTTTCATTCCTAAACTTCTCAATGCCACGGCAAGCAGGGCTCATGCCAAAGATGTCCATGAGAAACCTTGTATGGCAACCCTCATCGCTACACCAGTGCAGGACAACGGTAAGCAACAACTTCGTAGCAACACAGACGCACGAATGTGTGCACACGTAATGCATATGGGCATCTATGCACTTACATGGAAAAATCCGCAAGAATTATCTGCTTCTGCTGCCACGTAACTCCAGCAGTTCTGGCGTTGACTTCCATTGGAAGCCCTTTTCGCAAGCATCTGCAGCACCACTGTACGTATACCTGAACAGAAAACATCGGGAAATTCGGGGTGTGATCGTAGGCATTGCATGAGATCAATCGGAGGGCAGCCTGCCGTCCTTACACGTCGGCTAATCATTGCAAGGAAACAGTGTCAAGGCGCTCATTTGGCTGGATTTCGCGTTCTGCCATGCTTGCATACATTGAAAGCGCCAAGGTCCATGCCGCAATTCTGGCGCAAGCTGTGATAGTGGCACTGCATGCCACCAAGTCAGCATCAACAGACATGCTGACCTCAGCAACTGTACCCCCCCCAATAAGAAACAACACAGTTCGCGCTTTTTGCTTGGGGAAAAACCGATCGACTGATCAGTCCAGGCACCATCGCTTTGAACAGCGAAACCGCGGTGCCACGCTCGGAGGCTCTTTCACAGGCACTGACCAAGCTACTGCATGTGAACTCGTTCGGGGAAACGGTGCAAAGAAGCATATGGTCCAGTAGTTCCAATGCAGCGGCCCACTGCTCTGCATTTTCACCTCGGTCTGGCACCCGTACAAAGGCTCTTACCTCGACTTGTTGCTGTCAAGGAAGAACGACGTCAGGAGTCGTGACAACCGAGCTCAGCACAGGCCTTGATTGCGCTGGTGAAGCAAACCACATCCGGGTCCAAAGCCGGATCTCTCATTGCCCACAAGAAATGCAAGGCAATCTGCCATGTACCTGCACCTTCGCAACATCTAATGGCTCCGCTGTACGTGAACCGGTTGGGAGCGACCTGGCTTTGTGCCATGCCATCTATTGTTGACAAGGCCTGTTCCCACCGCCTCGCGATGCTACATGCGCTGATGAAGCTGCTGTAGCTGACGACATCCGGCAAGATCTGTTGTGGGATGAGTTGGCTGAGGATGTCAAGTGCAAGGAGCCAGGAGCTGTATTGTGCACAAGCAACCAGTGCACTGTTGTAGCCGTAAAGATTAGGGGTTATCCGTGAAGTTCCCATGAGGCTCAACAAGGCGAGAGCAGCAGACCACTCCTCCTGTTTGGAGCATGCGCCTACAACGCTGCAATAACACACCACGTCCGGGAAGAAACGCTCCTGAGGCATCGTCGCCAATATGTTCAAAGAGGCTGGCCACGAGCTCGCACGCTCGTAGGACAAGATTGACGACCTGCGGCATACAAATGCTTCAGCCCAGTCGTCAGGTGTCATTCCAGCTCACATGGTGAGCTGTTGTCAGAAGCTGGTTGCGCTTTGTGAAATCGCTGTCACCTCGAGCTTTCATCACATGTGCATCTTGCCCAATGGCTCCTTGCTCAGACAGCAGGTGCAAAGAAGTTGTGCGCGCGGCGGCTTCATGGCATGCTTCTGGGCTATCTATGCCGCCGGTACGGCTGGGCCACAGCGAGACTGCGATAGGCAACATCACAATCATGGCAAAACCTTCTCAACGGTCCTCAGCAAGCCCAGCACATGCCCACTCCCATGCTACATGTGAGCATGCTCGTACGGGCTTTTCGAACCGATCTTAAAGCTTTGACTTCGCCGAGGATTGCACGCGCACCACAACCTGCCAACACCCCTACTGATGCAGCAGAGAATTCACGGCTAGGTTGTAAAAGCAAAACGATCCAAGCCTTGCCCGTGTTGCCTCCTTCGAAGAGGGCGCGGAAGGCACTGCCAAATGACTCCAACCCATCGAAGACAGTCCTTGTCAGAAAATTTTGCCAGCTCTCTCTCTTTGTAGCGCAGCAAATCACGGGATTGCTTGCCACATCCTGCAGTAAACGACAAAGACTTAACGAACATCTGCCTCTGAGGGGCTCTTCCACTTTCACTTTGCCTTCGGCGACCCACTTGGCCATGTCTTGTAAGAAGTTGCCACGTTCACCCGAAAGCCAGGGGAAGCACTGAAAGCCTTCAACCCGTTGAGAGGTGTAGATCATGTTAGATATGTATATCTTGTTCGGGGTCATCTTGGGCTTGTTGTAATCCGATATGACGCCGCAAACTGCCACACGCCCGTTCGGCCGCAAGCACTTCATGGCAGCTTCAAAGTGCATTCCGCCAACATTCTCAAAATACATGTCGATGCCGGAGGGGGCGAGCTTAGCCAACGCCGTGATCAAATCCCTCGTTGATTTGCAAGCCTGCCGGAATCGCACAAGCACATCATGATCCAGCAAGCTACCCAAGCACATGAATACGCTTAAACTGCTACGATGCTGCATGTGCACAATTGGCAATCACGCCCTGCCAAGGCCTTGTAGTCAACGCAATGGTCAAAACCGAAGCGTTCAGTGACCAGTTTGCACTTCTCGGGACCCCCCGCCGAACCAATGACGGTGCAACCGAACACATGCTTGGCAATCATGCCAACCATGGAGCCAACAGCTCCTCCAAAGCGTGACAACACGACAAACCCGTGCTGGAATGATCTGTCCATGAAGCACTGACTTCAAAAAGAGTGCGAAAATCTCTTGGTTCAATGCTTACGGCACGAAGCAGCAAGCCTGCAGCGCCACTGACCCAAATAACTTCGCCACTCTTCGGGCGCAAAATGTCTGTCAATCCACCGTATGCTGTAGACCTCAGCGACCACTCAGGTTGAACTACTCGTTCAAAATTCGTTGTAAAACTAGCAGCGCCTGCATGCCTGGATTCCACCGTCACTTCAATAACTCCATCGCTACGGCCCCGAGCCGACTCAAAGAAAACCACAGATGCAAGCAAAAATGCCCCGGCATTCCCAATGCTCCGATGCCCAAGCTGATGTTCTCCTGAAGGTCCAGGCTCAAAAAACCCGAACACCAAAAATAGTATAGGTACTTCTTAAGGCCCCCACAAGTACACTCACACCCCGAAATGACGAATGTGTGAGGGTCCTCGCTCACAAGGCCGGTCAGGCGCCGGAACATGCGAAGCCTCGATGCCGGGACTGCCTGGATGTCAAGGCAAGGTAAATGGTGTAGAGATTAGGGTTTAGGGTTTAAGGTCTCGGGTCTAGGTTTAAGGTTTGGGCTTAGGGTTTAAGGTGCCTGGATGTCAATGCAAGGTAAACGGTTTAGAGATTAGTTTTTCTTTTGTTTGAACCCTTTTTCACCCAGGGTTTAAGGTTTAGGGCCTGATGAAGGTTTGGGGTTTAGGGTGCCTGGATGTCAATGTAAGGTAATTCGGCACCGAAAAGGTCCCCAACTTTCCATTCCGGCACGTTCGTCTCTAGAACTTTCCCGGCCACCAAGCCCAGCATCGGCGAGTCGGCTTTGTAGTCTCCATCGGACCGAATACGGTACCGCATGTACGGATCAGCACTGACAACTAGAAGCTGCACCAGAATGCCGTCACCCAGCTGTGGACGTGGATATTGTCGCATTTCGAAATGTTCCGGGCCTGGCACCCCTTCATTCAGATTGGTCCGGAGGATAAGAGCACTTGCCATCGAGGCACGCAGTACTCCAGCTGATCGGCATCAGCCCCGGATTGAACCAAATTGCTGGTGACAAATAACGGCTAACGAATGGAATGCCCACCCGCACCGGAACACAGTAAACAAGACTTGCATGCATGTACAGACATGTTCACTTGTACGGTGCGCGAGGCATGGACATTGAATGCTGATTTGCTTTTTCGTTTTCGTCTCTTCTCAAGTTGCGGATTTCTATGCTGCCCCGCAAGGGTCGGAACAACACGCCGCATGCATGTCGCTATGAGCATGTATTTCGTCGCTTACTTCTTATTTTGCCTGCACGGGCGGGACCGCGGCACCAGTTTTCGCAAGTGCAATCCCGGCATAGGGTGGTTTTAATTTTGAATGTTCAAGCCGAAAAATGCTCAAACGTAGGTGCGAACAAAAACCGAGGTGCAAGTGGTGGTGCCGCCACACACAGATTGCACTCGGTTTAACCACACGAAACACAGCCGCCACATGTTTTGTGCGTGCGGCTTCATACCGAAGAAATGCTAATCGTGAACAGAAAGGAGCGCATGGTGTGTGTGTGTGTGTGTGTGCAAAAGCGTTTGCACGAGCCTGGCAAGCATAGCCTTCCAAGGCTTCATCAACCTGCGAGATAGAGAACACACGACGAAATGGGAGAGCCGGCATTCCCAGTACACCGGTGGAACAGGCGGGAGAAAAGGAGGTCACTCAGAACCGGATCCCAAGCCGAACACCACCAGCTGGCAATATTGCGTGCGTGCATGCTTGTACTTCCGCAATCTTCCGCAGCAGGGCGGCAAAGGCGCGGCATCCCGCCCGGCCATCCCCCAAAAAAGCGCAGTTGCCGCAAGCCGCGCTTGGACGCGGAGCCAGTGGCAGTGCCAGGACGTGCCTGCCGAGGGCGCTGAACACAGCGCTGGAAAATCCATGCCATTGTGTCTTTCTTCAAGTGAAACAACCTGCATCATAGGAACCGGCTTGGCGCGCACAGGAGCAATGCTCTGAATGCGTTTGGATGTGCACGAGCTTCGGCGATTCGGCGACCTCACATCTCCTCGCAAGCTACTGTGGGAGGATTCAGCCCATTACCAACATCGTCACACAGCTAGGCGGTTCGCTGACTTACGCGCATGCCTGACGGGGAGCACCGGGGAGAAGGGAAGGAGCCTGCAATACAACTCCATAAACCGAATAAAAGCCAAAGGTAGCTGGTCGGAGCCCAAAACCTCCTAACCACACGGCCAGCTCCGATGCCCGCCGTGTCCAACACGGGTGCCCAACGTCGTCGCAAGAAAGCATCGATGCGTAGCGGAATTTCCGGCTACAGCGATAAGCTGCCTGCGTTAACTGAGCTGACAGGAAGACTTCTGTTGTGACTGTGGTGGGCTGGCTGTTTCGACAATCACGTTTTCGCAACAACCATTGTGCCGTCCGAATGGGTGGGTCAGTAATGGTCAGTACAGCTAACACACCGATGAAGCAGTGAATGGGTGCCCCTTTGCCACACGCGCCGCTTTGGAACATTTTCCAAGGCCCATAAACCGCAGCAGAATGCTCAGAGGCTGGAGCATGTACTTTTCGTGCTGTTGGGAAAAGGCAAACAAACAATGATGGATGGACCAATACATGGACAACTCATGGACAAACACAAGCATGCGTGTTGCATGCATAAATGGTTCGCTGGATGAACAATGTGCGTGGCTTCTTCTCGCTATGTGCGCCTCGCCGCGAGCCAATCACGCGCTGCGCACAGTGCCGCCGCTAGATGTTGCCGCCTACGCACAGGCCCATGACGATGCCGTTTGGGAGACCTTGCAGGCCTGCCTCGGCGGGGTCTCGTCTAGCGAGGCGGAGGGCGCACGCACCTTGGCGACTCTCCCCGCATCGCTTGGCGGTTTAGGCCTGGCTAGCGCGGTGCGTGCCGCGCCCGCTGCTTATTGGCCGGCATGGGCTGATGCGCTCCCTGTCCTCGGCGAGCGCGCCCCGGTTTTGGCCGAGGCATGCGTCCGCCAATAGGAAACAGAGGAAACAGAAGCGGCGTGCCTACGCAGCGCAGCGGCGGCACGCAACGTCCTTCGAGCTGAAGGCTGGCAGGAGTGTCCTTCCTGGCGAGCGATTGCGGATGGCGCTCGCCCGCCACCGGTGACAGCCAAAGGCCTGGGCGATTGGCCGCACGGCTGGCAGCACAGTGCGTCGCGAACTCGCAACCTTCACTTCCGTGACCGCACGTTGCTCCCAGCCTTGCCACCAAGCGCCTGCGCGCTCTTGCGTTCCTAGGCAGGCCCGCACGCAGGTGCCTGGTTAACAGCCATACCGGCGGACCCAGCCACTACACTGCCGCCGCAAGCCATGCAGCTCGCCTTGCGCCGCCGTTTGCGCCTCCCACCGCCCCTTCGCGCGAGTCACTGCGGCCCCTCTCCCGGATGTGGCGGACTCGTCGATGTGCACGGCGATCATGCCCTGGCCTGCCCGCGCACTGGGCTGCTTGCTAAACGAGCCAAAGTCGTCGAACGGGCCTGGGTGAGGGTGGCGCGCGAAGCTGTCGGGGCGGACGGCCAAGTAGTCCCGCACCAATGGCTCTGCAACATGACTGCTCCGGTTGTCGCCCCGGACGACAGGCGCCGCCTCGATCTGGTGATCTATGGAGCGACGCCCATGGGAGGAGCACTGTGCTGCGACACGGCCCTCGTGTCGCCACTGACTCGTACGGGCCAGCCGCAACCCGGCACCGCGGCGCATGATGGCGCCATGCTGCGAGTTGTTGAGCGGCGCAAAC